TGGGACCGGTGGTGGACTTAGTTTTAGACCGGTTTGGGACCGGTGGTGGACTTAGTCTTGTAGCCTTGGTTATTGACTGCTTCTGGAAAGATGACTGGTTCTAAACTTAGCTTGGGCTGGGTTGGACTTAGTTTTAGACTAGTTTGAGACAAAAGTTGGACTTTTTTTTCTTACTGCTTTTGGACTTGGTTTTAAACTGGTTCTGGACATAGTTTGAGAACAGTTTGGGGCATGTTTTGGACTCCTTTCTGTCTTGGTTTCCGGTTGTGTTGTGACTTGGTTTTGCACTGGTTTTAGCTTTGGTGTTTTGACTTGTTTTTGACAGATGTTGGACTGGTTTTAAGATAAGTTTTGGACTTGGTTGCTGTCTAGTTTGGACTTAGTTTTGGATTCCTGTTGCATTTTGATCCCATGATGTTTTTTCAGATGGACTCGTGGTTCTAATCGTGGTTCTTTGAGACTCTGGTTGGATGTTTGGGTCCTTCGTCCGGCTGCAGGATGACTCTGATGAACGTCAACATGTGAACAGCGTTAGATTTTGGGTTTAAATGTGAGTCAGTGGCTGCAGCTGACAGAAACTTGTTAGAATCCGAGCACGCCGACGTCTCCGAGTGTTATCAGCACCAGGTGGAGGAGCAGCACCATGGCAACAGCCTCTCTGACTTCGCCCACACACTTTCCTCCATCATCTGTCTCCATAGATTCCCTTCACATGTCCGTCTGAGAGGGTTTCTCTGGACTCTGCAGCGTCACATGGCGGTTTCAACTGCAGCCTCTGCGTCCGATCGGTCGCAGGCTGCAGAAACCGGCCCGAGACGCTGCTTTAGTTGGTCTGAGAGCAGCAGCTGAACCTGAAAGACGACGTGCTGGTTCAGTGGAGCTAGGACATCTGGACGGGAACTGGAAAACAGGTGGACACGTTAGGGAAGTGAGGACATCGTTTGGATGGAGGGTTTTAAGCTTAGTTCTTAGGTTTGGTCATCATTTTAGACTTGTCTGGTTTGGACTCACTTTTAGATTGGCGTAGGGCAGATGTTGGACAGATGCTGGACTCGGTTTTAGACTGGTTAGGGACATGTGTTAGACTCGGTTTTAGACTGGTTTAGGACAGATGTTGGACAGATGGTAGACTTGGTTGTAGCCTGGGGAAACTGAGGACACTTTTGTTTAAAAAAAAAAAAAAAAAAAAAGTCCTTCACTTCTGGAAAAAGGACGTTTGGTAAAATGAGGACATGTTGGATGTGGGGGACGTTTGTGGAAGGTGGTGAAGGTGATGGTTTTCTGTAAACCTGTTGTGTCGTGAACAGGATGCGGTCGACAGGTGAGACAGGAGCAGCTGCAGCAGCGCCTCACCTGCCGGCTGGAGGCAGGCTGAGCTCTGCTTCCTGCACAAACCCACCAAACTGCTTGTGTGTGCTGTTGAAAACACACAAAGCTTCCTGGTGCATGCACAAACACGACGGAGTCACTGTGAAAAGAAGAGAAGGTAAACCCGCATCCTTTTACATAACGCCTGCCCTGAATCTCCTCCCGTCTCCATGGCGACAACATCAAGGAGGCTGTGCAGGAATGTCACATGTGGGGCAGTAATATGTAATAATCTCTCTCTCCCTTGGTTCTGGGAGTCTCTCGACCGTCCTGCAGCACTGCAGAGTCTCCAGCATCCTCCACATCTGGTCCATGCTTCAGCTCCACCAGGTCCTCAACAGGCTCAACATGAACTTTATTTGTTTCTGGCAGTCAAAATGTGCAGAATATGTGAAAACTGCAAAAATGCAAAATGAGAAACTGGGAGCATCACGTGGTCTGGTTTGAGCCAATCAAATGTTTGGGTTTTGCTGCCTCTCTGGTTCAACTCAGGGCAAAATTAGCATCAAACACCAGCACACAGTTCCAGCTGTTTGCTCACAAATTCGACAAAAACAACAGCTGGAGGGACTTCCTTCTGTCTCCCTGCATGCCCCCGGCCTCCCCAGTCCTCCCCAGTCCTCCCCAGTCCTCCCCAGTCCTCCCCATCCTCCCCCGGTTGTGTAACCTCCCTCTGCCTCGCTCTTGCCGCAGTGAAGGAAACCCCTCTCTCCGCTCGCTTCTACGTCGCTCTCCCGCCTGTCCTTTTATGGCATGGGGGATACCCGCCGTCACAGCCGGATGCAGCCCATGTTTGGGCAGCTACGAAGCGCGCGGCGGGGGGAATCCCTCGCGCCGGTGTCGACCAATAAGGCCGTGCCGGGAGTTACCTAGGAGACGGACAGTATAAAACGGGCAGCGAGCGCAGGGAGCTCAGCATCCTCAGCATCACCGAGCGGACTAACGGGACGCAGCTCCGGTAACCGGTAACGGATTATTAACGCCACTTTTGACCAGCTGACACGATGCTTCTGGAGCGCGACGACAGCTTCATGTCCGAGTTTGAGGACGCGTGCAGCGCCTGGGTGGATAGCGTGGGCTCGAGCCCAAGTGACGGAGCGGACTCTGACGTGGGGTCACCTTTCTGCTCAGGTGAGTCCGGCTGCGGCTCCGCAGAGGATCATATCGATCATATCGATCATATCGATGAGCTGCTCGCCTATTATGCAACTAACTCCTCCTCCTCCTCCACAGTCTTCTCTCCGGGAACTGACGCCTCCGACTCAGATTTCTTCTCCGACTTCAGCGACTGCTCCTCGGACACTCTCTCGCCCTCCCTCGCCTACAACGGCAGCTTCTTCGCGGAGCCGGAGGCGGCACCGGCGGGGCTGAGCAGCACCGCGGACGCCATCCTCACCATGATCACGGAGATCGTGGGGATCTGCACCGAGATGGAGCAGCAGCAGCAGCAGCAGCAGCAGCAGCAGCAGGGCGACGCAGCGCCGGCTGCTGCCTCCGCCGCGCCCCCGCTCTTCGCTCCGGCTCCCGGTTCGGACCTCCCTCCGCCGGCTGCAGCCCAGCAGCCGTCTCCCGCCGCCACAGCGCCGGTGGTGGTGAAGAGCGAGTTTCTGACCTCCAGCTGCAGCACCGGCTGTGCTCAGCCTTCCTCTGCCGGGAGCGACGCGCTGTTCCCGGCCGGCGCCGACTCGCTGCTCCCGCTGGCGGCTCTGGAGCAACAGGTGGATGTGGCGGAGTTCATCGACTCCCTGCTGAGCTCCGAGGCCGGCCAGGGCGAGCTGAAGCCCGGCTGCGAGGTGAAGCAGGAGCCGCTGGGGCTGGAGGACTGGCTGAAGAGTTTGGCTCCGGGTGCCGGAGGAGATTCCAGCAGCTACGTCATCAGCAGACCGGCGGTGAAGACGGAGCTCGCGCAGGGCGGGAACGACCTGCTGTGCCCCCCCTCCTCCCTCCCCTCCACCCTGGACGCGCACCTGCTGTCCTCTCTCCTGCAGGGCGCGTTCCCGATAGTAAACATCAACGGCGTGCACGCGCCAGGGGCCCCCAAGGTGTCGCGCACGAGCCGGAGAGCCCCGGCCAGGGGCGCGCTCAAGGCCAAGCCGTTCCCGTGCTCCGTGCAGGGGTGCGAGCGCCGCTTCTCGCGCTCGGACGAACTCAACAGGCACGTGCGCATCCACACCGGACAGAAGCCGTTCCAGTGCACCATCTGCGCGCGCAGCTTCAGCCGCAGCGACCACCTGACCACGCACACGCGCACGCACACCGGAGAGAAGCCCTTCTCCTGTGACGTGTGCGGCAAGAGGTTCGCGCGCAGCGACGAAAGAAAGAGGCACGGGCGCGTGCACGTCAAGCAGCAGCTTCGCGCGCAGATGATGGCCGCCTACTCTCTGGCCCTGAACGCGCCTGGCGTCTAAGCAGCTGCGGCGGTGCGCGCTCACGTTGTCGCGGCCGGTGAGGCTGCCGCGGATTTGAACCGACGACCCGGAAGGCGTCAGACGCACGTTTCCATGTGACGTCACTGGAGGACTGACAGGTGTTTACAGGTGTGCAGAGGGCTCCTCTCACGGCGCATGCGTGGCTGCAGCCCCCGCAAGAGGCCCGGAGGTCTCAGGGGGCTCGCAGGTTTTACGGACTCTGAGTTCGGGTCTGATCCGGGACCCGCCGGGTGTCAGAACCACCTTCACCCGGAGCTCTGCACTGAAACACGGCTGGACTGAGGAGCCGAGCAGCTCCCGCTCGTCCTGCTTCTGTCTGCATGAGGCCTGAGCTGCTGATGTTGTGATCTCAGTGTTTCTGTCTGAGGACTTGATGTTTGTATCAAATCTATTTTCTCACTGTGGACTCACAGAACCGAGCTGAGACCGGTGCAGGTCTGAGCTGCAGCGGTGCATTGTGGGATACGTGTCCTGGTGTCTGTGGTGAAAACTAACTGCAGCTCAGCGAGCAAAGTGGTGTTGATGTTTACTTGATCTGCATGAAGGCTGCTGTCAATAAACAAACAAACAAACAAACAAACAAACAGAGTCAGTCTGCTTCATCATCATCATGAATCCAGTTCTGTCAAACCGTGTGACTGAATTCTGACCGTTCAGGGTTCAGTGTGTCAGACAGGAGAGTTCCATCAGATCAGATGATTGACTGGATCCATCAGAGGATTCAGTCTGAATTATTGGACCTGAAAAATGTTCCAACAGCAGCTGCTGTCAGAGTAAATGTGATCATCTATGATGTTACATGATGTCCACATGAAGACAGCAGGAAGCAGCTTGGAACATCCAGAACCAACACCTAGAACCAACATCCAGAACCAACATCTAGAACCAACACCTAGAACCAACA